GAATTATCCAAAGATTGGTCATGTGTGAGTTGAGCTTATTGCATGCATGTCTTGAAGAAGAAGATTGTGTGATCATTCATGTTTACCTTCAAGACATCATCCAAATGAAGAGAGTTAGAAAGATTCAATGTTGATCAAGACTAAGTCAAGAGTGAATCAAGTTGATCAACTCACAAAGCGTAGAAGAAGTACCGAGAGGGATCAAGTGATCCCATGGTATGGTAAGCATTGTCCATTACGCTTTGTGTACTAACCCATGGTCTACGTGAGAGTTCTTTGTGGGGTTAGATATGTTTCCATGGTCTTGCATCAAGAGGAAGATCTCATACAACCCATGGAGGATGACATCAAGTGGTGATCGTCATCAAGTTTGCAGTGTGCAAGTTCAAGTGGAGCAACTCGAAGAGTGTCTCACCCATAATGGAGTATGCGGGAGCAATCAAGCTTGAAGCTTGTTGTCCATTGTGGTGTCAATGAAATTGTGAAGATGTGCCAAAGAGTGGCTCATCCATAGTGGAGTATGGGGAAGCAATCAACTAGTCTTCATCGAGCCAACACAATCAAGAAAGGTGGTCCAACTTGAGAAAGTCAAGATCGTCATCATCTAGCTCAAGTGGACTATGTGCAAGGCAAAGGTTTGCCCTTGATAGGTTTTCTATTTTACCGGTCTCATAGTGGTAGTTGGGAGACCGGGTTGTAGGATCGATTGTCGTACTATCAAGGGGGGCTCTCTAGGGAGTAGCTTGATCGTATCATTAGTCAAGAGCTCAAACCATTGCATCCTTGCATCATCTTTTTTGGTTCTTGTTTGGTTCCATTTGTGAGTCTTAGAGCTTATGGTCATCTTGATGACAAGCTTGAGTTCATCGAAAACGGAGTTCGCATGCATCTTCTATGATGTTTTCGGTGTTGGAGGTTTTACCGGTCTTTTCCGAGGAAGGGTTCTCACCATTTTATTATGGTCCTTTTCTCATTTGCTTCTTATTGATATTTCTCTCAAGATCGTGTTAGCACTTGTCATTAGCTTTCCAACAAACTTGATTTCATTGAATTCGGAGCTCGTTTGCAAAAGTTGTGGCTGTATTGATATTGCCTGTTTTACATAGAGAGGTTGTACCGCCCCATGGAGAGGTTGTACCGCTTGACCGGTACAACCGGTGTTTGGAGCGGTTGTACCGCTCCAAAATTGGTCTGGAGGTTGTACCGGTCATGTACCGCTCTACCACCGGACTGGTCTCTATTGTGGTGCGGTTGTTGGGCGGTTGTGGGCCGGTTGTACCGCTTATTGCCTGTTACCGGTTGTACCGGTGCTCATAGAGGTTGTACCACTCCTATGTTGTTCTGTACATAACGGGCAGATTCGTGGGGACCTATTTAAGGGGATCTTCTTCTCCAATGGTTTCCCATCTCTTGAGCTCGTTTTTGCCCCCCATTGTTGACCTTCTTTGAACTTGCTAACTCTCAATCCCTCCATGGATTCTTGCTAGTTTTTGAAGGAAAAGAGAGAGGAGATCTAGATCCAAATTTCCACCAATCACTTTCTCCTCTATATGAGAGGAACCCCTTGGATCTAGATCTTGGAGTTCTTGGTGTTCTCCTTCTTGTTCTTCCTCTCATTTTCCTCCCTAGCATTAGTTGCTCCAGTGGGATTTGAGAGAGAAGGACTTGGGCACTCCGTGTGCCCTTGCCATTGTATTTGGTGCATCGGTTTGAGTTCTCCACGGTGATACGTGGAAGTAAAGTTTGAGAAGCTTATTACTCTTGGGTGTTTGGTCACCCTAGAGCTTGTTCCTCTTGGGTGCCTTGGCGCCCTAGACGGTTGGTGTTGTTCGGAGCTCCGGGCAAGCGTCGGGGTCTCCAATTAGGTTGTGGAGATCGCCCCGAGCAATTTGACGGATACCGGTGACCGCCCCCAAGGGTTGCCAAAGTGTACGGGTTCGGTGACCGCCCCCAAGGGTTGCCATTTGTACGGGTTCGGTGACCGCCCTCAAGGGTCCCTTAGTGGAATCACGGCATCTTGCATTGTGCGAGGGCGTGAGGAGATTACGGTGGCCCTAGTGGCTTCTTGGGGAGCATTGTGCCTCCACACCGCCCCAAACGGAGATTAGCATCCGCAAGGGTGTGAACTTGGGGATACATCGTCGTCTCCGCGTGCCTCGGTTATCTCTTACCCGAGCTCTTTACTTATGCACTTTACTTTGTGATAGCCGTATTGTTTCTTGTCATATATCTTGCTATCACATAGTTGCTTATCTTGCTTAGCATAAGTTGTTGGTGCACATAGGTGAGCCTAGTTGTTTTAGGTTTTGTGCTTGACAAATTAACCACTAGGTTTATTCCGCATTAGTTCAAGCCTAAATCGTAATTATTTTAAAACACCTATTCACCCCCCTCTAGGCGACATCCACGATCTTTCAAAGGATGACCCCGATCAAAACGACCGGCGAAAGAGCAAAAAAAAAAAAAATCCGGAGCAAGGCCTCGGGAAAAAGACTCTCTAGGGTAGCCGGTCAACACGACCGGCGGACGAATCCTAAGTACGGGTGGATTGGCCCACAGCGGCGGTCATGGAGGCCGATCGCCCCAGAGACGGCGCGCGGGTGCGGAAGCGACGGCAGCTAGGGTTTGAATCGTGATTAGGCTGATATTATGTTAGAATGGAGAGAGAAGTTTAATGAAATTGTTCATTGTATTACTCGAGCCTCGTGAACATATATATTAATACATGATTTATTTAAAGTATAAAATAAACCAGAATATTTTTCTAGTCTATTCTACGTATCCAATATAATCACGTTACTCAACACAAACTACCCTGATCACCAACACCCCCCTAAGCCAAATGAGTTTGATCCCGTTGAGAAAGATAAATCATAGTAGCCAGTACACGCGAGATCAACAACTCCTCGTAGCTTCTTTGCCGCATTCCTTAGCCAAATGGTTTTCATGGCCATAAGAAGATGAGCAATCTGAAAATACAATCAACGTGCTTATTAAGAAAATAATGTTTAATAATAAACTTATTCCTAATTGTCCATAAAATCCATCACATAGCAGAAAATCCAAACCAAAACAAGCGCCCGTTTTGCCCCGTCAAAGACCCAACTAGTTTTCGTAACTCAGCGAATGAATTGGACGTCCATGTCACACCTAGCCACGACTGGGTGCAACTTCAAAACACGGTAGCTAAACCACACCTGAAAAGAATGTGTTCCGAGTCCTCGCGCCAGCATAAATCGCACAAAAATTTCAAAGCCAGACTATTACATTTACGAATTTGATCCGCAACCGACAGTCAACCACGAATGGCTTTCCACATAAAAAATTATCTTCAAAGAAATCCGGGCACGCCACACTTAGTAGCATAGCCAACAATCAATCTAGAGTAAAGTGACTTAACCAAAAAACGCCCACAAGAAGTATGGGCCCAGATCCCTGAATTTGCCGCCTCCGAAAGCGCAGGGAAGATGGCAGCGAGACAGTGCCACTCCTTCAACTCCGCAGACAGAGGACATAACGAAAACTCAAATCCCAATTGCTGCGAAAGAAATCTGAGATGGAAATCTCAGGATCAACACGGAAAGAAAAAAAGAACAGGAAAAGACAAGCACAATGGCGCATCACCGTGCCACCAATCAAGCCAAAATTGGACTGAAACACCATTACTGACCACAAATTTAACGTGAGAACGAAACTCATCACATGCTTTAACCAAATCACGCCCGAACTAGGAGTCCCCAGACGTTGAGGCAGACAAAGGGCTGCAGGAAGGAAAGTATTTTGCTTTTAGAATATCGAACCACAACAACCTAGGAAGAGGTGTTAAGAATCCACCACACTGTTTGATGATCAAGCAATCAACATACGAAAAATTCCTAAGTATTATAATCTTTCAATATCCTATGAAAATCATCTGAATAAAGAGAGCCCATTTCATATGGTTGTCTCATACGAAGGCCAATCAAAAGGTATATGACGACTTTCTCCAAACCAGGCCACAAGATTTTCCCTATGTAAACCATGTCATCAAATACTCTATGATTTCCATGTCCCAAACAAAGCATAAGACTTGCAAGATTTTTCTTCTTCTAAAAATTCGTATGTTGATTCCATATGCATAATTGTAGTGCACTCAGATCACCAAAACAAACACATGCTCACATACATGGATGCACACTCATCTTATGGAGGCATGGACCCGACAAATCTTGAAATTGGTGAGCCTGTATAAACACCGTATTGCTAAAAGATTAGCGTCAGACAACCTAAAATAAATCCAGAAAAATACGATTACTCTTGCCAAGTCTAAACCTTGAATCCCGGTAGACGCGTTCCGTCACAAGGGATCTAGCCATTAGAGCTATGCTTAGTTCACAGCAAATAACGTCATTGACATGATACAAAATCATCATGTCATAAAAATTCAAATCTAAATACAACCCACAACTTCTATAAAAATAAAAATAAAACCAAGCTACTGATATTACAAAATCAAACCAGTGAGCGAGCCCCACCATGTGCATCATCCAATGCAAAGTTTATCCTTCTTTTCCCCTTTATTTAATTTGCACTTTAATTCCGGCATCATAGATCATATGCTCCCTTAGATATATCTGTATTTAGATGAATTTAAGACAAGTAATTTGAGACATAATAATTCTATTTGTATCTTGAAATTAAAATGAGGAATTACAGGCAATAATTTGTGTACACTTATTTTTCGAAGCACATACATTCAATACCGAACTTCCTCGATGTCCTTTCGACAAAATATACAAGGAGATAAACGCAGGCTGCAAGTCGGCGCGGCAATTTCGGCGGCGTCCTCTCCTCTCCATCCATCTGCCTCACCCTCCCCCGCCGCCTCAACACGGCGCCATCCTCATCACGAACCCACCAAACAAACAAAAGGCGGACCCAACTCCCCCTCCTCCACCTTCCCCGGAGCACAAATCTCCCATCCCAATCCCCGCCCCCGTCGGTAGCCGATCGCGTCGACGATGCTGGGCGCCGCGAGGAGATCCGGATGCGTACGTGCGCTTCCCTGAGAAGATGTTTTTCCTCCGTCCCTGCCTGTCGGTTTTGTCTCTGATCCGTGTGCGTGTTTCGATCGGTTCAGGTGCTGGGGCAACTGATGCAGACCCTCCGCCCGGCGGCCACGGCGGCGAGGAGCTACTCCGCGACCCCGAAGGAGGTGAGCGCTTGGCTGGAACCCTAGCTTAGATCGTGTGGTGAGGCGTGGCACGGTCGTCGGTGTGATTGATTAATCTGTTACTATTTGTTTGTTTGTTTGTTCTGGGGTGGTGAATGGTACAGCTAGGTGGGGTTAGTTTTTCGAGACGGTTGATCCTGTGGGCTGTGGCAGGGGTGGTTGCATATTGGCCAGTCATGGGCTTTAAACGGTAAAGTGCGTCGATTGTATGGAACCTTACTCGATTTGTGCAGCTCAGTTCTGGAAATGGCTGGTCGTTCAGGAGAATCAGTCGTTTTTGTTGTCGACGTTTCTAGGTGGGAGAACATACCTTTTGTGCGCTGACAGTGGGTTCAGTGAATTGAACGGTACTGTTTTGAAAAATGTATAGCAGTATTGTCTAAGCAGTTTGCTGGACAGCTGGTGTAGAGGTATTTTAGGTTGTTCTGATTTCACCAGATTGAAAGAACCCAACATGTATCTTATTATTTTGTTAATACACTTGCTTGTTGAATTTTTGTAGTGTTGTGTTTGCCTCTAGAATAATTTTATGTTCTGCTTACATTGTGATTTTGTGTGGGAAATTTATGCAGTTCCTCTTCTTTTGCTCTTTAGATGACTGTGCGTGAAGCATTGAATTCCGCCCTTGACGAGGAGATGTCTGCCGACCCTTCTGTTTTCTTAATGGGAGAAGAGGTACCACGATACCTACCACCTGGAAGACAGTTTGTATATTTTTCTCTCCTTTTTTTTTGTGCTCTCTAATACTTGTCATTTCTGTGGCAGGTTGGAGAGTACCAAGGTGCGTACAAGGTGAGTGAATTCTTCTCAAGACTCATGATTTCTTTATTACTTAGTGGCAACTGAAAATTTGTGTGAATACTATTAGCATTTATATCTTTTATGTTATTTGCAGATAACAAAGGGTTTGCTGGACAAGTATGGTCCTGATAGGGTTCTCGATACACCAATCACAGAGGTTATAAACTTGAACCCTTAAAAGTAATCATTGGTGTCTGTTCATAAGCTGTCAGATTTGTGTGATCAGTTTCGGAGTTTTCAGTACTAATATGCTATTGTTCTCTTCAGGCTGGTTTTACTGGCATTGGCGTTGGTGCTGCCTACCAAGGTCTTAGACCTGTAGTAGAGTTCATGACATTTAACTTCTCAATGCAGGTCAGTCATTTTATTTTCGAAATTCCTGAAAATGCCAGTTTGTCAAATAACCTTATTATATTGCTGCATTGTATTTTTCGCTGCTAGTTTTCGAAGCAGCTTAAATTATGGTAGGTCGTGCTGATTTTCCCCTTGTGATGAGTGGTGATGTAGTCTGCTCTTGATTTGTTCTATATCATGCTGTGTTTAAGTGGATGGGAATATTCTTTTCAATTGTTGTTTATTCTTTTACAGAAACATGATTACTAGAAACTGACATTAGAAAGTACTCATTGGAAGAGTATCATCCTTCTGAAAATTTGATGATCAAGATAACTACATTTTCTTCCCGTTGGTAGCTTAAACAGAATACAGAGCTTGATGGCCACAGTATAGTTTATGCTTAACTGCAAGTACAAGAGTAAAAATCTGTTACTCATACTTTGTTTCGCATGTTGCCTATTGGACATTTGAGAACTTTGTTTTAAGACATAGTTCTTCCTTGTCTGCATGTTCACATATTACTCGGAATGGTTGGATATTGAATGATACCCATTAGTTACTGTTACTCCCTCCCATAATGTAAGACGTTTTTGACACACTGTTGGTAGCTTAAACAGAATACAGAGCTTGATGGCCACAGTATAGTTTATGCTTAACTGCAAGTACAAGAGTAGTAAAAATCTGTTACTCATAGTTTGTTTCGCATGTTGCCTATTGGACATTTGAGAACTTTGTTTTAAGACATAGTTCTTCCTTGTCTGCATGTTCACATATTACTCGGAATGGTTGGATATTGAATGATACCCATTAGTTACCACTACTCCGTCCCATAATGTAAGACGTTTTTGACACACTAGTGTAGTGTCAAAAAACGTCTTACATTATGAGACGGAGGGAGTACTATTTTTGATTAAAACTTTGATCCCCATAATTACATATTAATTGCATACGGCTGCTAGTATGCCTTTCTTGTTGCACTCAGTTTGTACATAACTCTGTCCATAAATTTACTTTCATTTATTCTGTATATAAATCTTGCCGAATATGTCTACATACAACAACTGTGTATTGCATTAGTCAAAGTGTTTGCCTAATAGCACTGTTTTGCACATCCAGGCAATTGATCACATCATCAATTCAGCTGCCAAATCAAACTACATGTCAGCTGGTCAGATATCCGTTCCTATTGTTTTTCGAGGACCAAATGGGGCAGCTGCTGGAGTTGGTGCTCAACACTCGCAGGTTTGACTAAAGCTTATCTCTACCTATTTTTTTCGAGAAATCCATGAGAACTGCCTTCTCATATAGACAAAGAGAGATGAACAATAGGTACAGAGGAGCACACGTTTTTGAAGGGAGCATGGCAAAACCCTATAGCACTAAACTTACCTGTACCTATCCATGTGTTGTTTGTCATCCTTACTCTATTTCTTCTGTTGGTGGTAGAATGAAAGCCAAAACTGTCAGAACATGACTTGTTCATCTCACTATCAATAAATGCATTGAATTGCAAGAGGTGTAAGCTTTAGTGTGCTTCTGGTGCTTCATGATCATAAGATGCATATCATCTTTGGTTTGTTTTTCATTTAGCATTTTTAATCTATTTATCCAAGTAGTGGAACCCTAGTAGTCTAATTTACTTCGGTACTAATTGACTTCGATGCAGTGCTATGCAGCATGGTATGCTCATGTTCCAGGATTGAAGGTCCTAACTCCCTATTCTGCAGAAGATGCTCGAGGCTTGCTAAAAGCTGCAATCAGGGATCCAGACCCTGTTGTTTTCCTGGAAAATGAATTACTGTATGTAATATTTTGTCCTACTTAGTTATATTCTCTACATTCAAGTTGTCATTTCAGCGAATCATTTATTCTTCTTTGCAGCTATGGTGAATCGTTTCCTATTAAGGCTGAAGTACTTGATTCTAGCTTCAGTGTCCCAATTGGCAAAGCTAAGGTATGTTCTTTAGTGGTCAGGAAGAGTTTAGTTCTGTCAGGTTTTTTGTTTGGATTGCCAGCAAGAGTTTTTTTTTTGGTTTCACCTTTTTTTTTTTGATCTGCAGATAGAACGGGAAGGAAAAGATGTTACAATTACTGCATTCTCTAAGATGGTTGGGTATGCTCTTCAGGTGTGTTACCACAGTACTTTTAAGTAAACGGAAGAAGTCGCTAATAGCTGTGTTTACTTGTGTTGTCCATTAGGCCTTCTTGTTTTACATTCGTTAGTGAAATTTGACCAAATAACGTAATAGTACCATTAGCAGCTAATGGTTTGTTCATTAACTAGATACTTCTTTTATGCAAAGAATGGTTGGTTGTGTAATATAGTGTCACCTTGACTGTGAAAGACTTGTTCACCCTGAACCCCTGCAAAATTGTCCCCAGTGGCCCCTTCCATATTACCTTTGGGTTCGTATCATGCAGAAACTTTTTTGATAGACTGAGGTATAAAACTTCCATGCGATATTAGTGATGTGTGCCCGCCTGCCCGGGGTACTATGTCAGCCCAGGCTTCAACACGGAAAATGACATGGGGCCAACAGTACTTCCACCTTAAGAAATGACAATTGGCGCTGTGCTGCAGTCTCAGTCCAGCCAATAACAGCAAGCACACAAAATTAAGGACATTTGGTTTCACTTTTGTCAGTTCTTGGAATAATCAAGTTGCTCTAGAAGGGTGACTTATGACCAAGTTATAACAAGAATACATCAGCACACGAGAAACCACGCCCGCGTCGCTCAGGAGGCGGCTCGGGCGGAACCATAGCCGCCGCCGCCGCCCCTCCCCTCGCCTCCTCCTCCCTCACCGCCGCCGGAGGACGCCGGCGGGCTAAGCCCGCGCGGCAGACGGCGGCGGCGGGGCGTTTCTCCGCGTGTCTATGGTGGGGGAGGCTCGGACTCCGCGGCTGCGCGATGCGGATTCCGGCGCACTCAGGCGGATCCCTAGGCGGCGCTCTTCGGCGAGGTGGTGGCTGCGGCGCTCCCTCATGCGGCGGCAGCGAGGAGCTCGAGGGCTTTGTCCCTCCACTGAGGAGATCTGGAGCGGTGGGGTGGCAGCCCACGTTCCCTGCCTGGTGGGTGTGCCTCTGGTGCTCAGGGGGCGCGGCCGTTGGCTCCTCCGCTGACGGCGCGACTGCTGGTGGTTGCCCGATCTGGCCGGGCTTGGTCAGATCTGGCTCGCGGCGTTGGCTGGCGACGAGGATTGGTGGTGGCTCCTGTGTGTTGATGGCGCTGTCGAGGCGCAGGAGGTGTACGGGCCAGCGGATGTGCGGGTCGGCTTGGCCGGCTGCGTGGGGTGGGTGGTTGTCGAGTTGCTCCGAGCGAAGGCTTGCCTGGCTTGCGTCGGCCGGTGGTGGCGGCAGGCGTCGCTCCCTTCTTGAAGGCGTCACCGTGGAGTTCTCGTCACCGCGCTTCATCCTCGGATCTGGTTCTTCGGGTGAAAGCCTAGACTCGGCTGGGTCGGGCAACGATGTCGTCTCTACGACATTCCTCCTTTGGGGCGTTGTTTTGAAGACCGGTGATCCTTCTCCGCGCTTCCCTCGGGCTGGACGTGCACGGCATCACGGTTGGCGGGTGCCCAATCGGTGATGCGAGTGGCTGGCGTTGCGACTTGTGCGGCGACGACGATGGTGGCGTGCGAGCTGGGTCGCGGCTTGTCCTTCTGATGTCGACGGTCCGATTCGTCGTTGGGTGCGCCTATGTTTGTTTCTGACCCTGACAGAGAAGTTGAAGCTGCGTGTGGCGGGGCCCCTGCGGCAACGATGACTCCATGAGGGTGGTTTCAGCGGACGGTGCTCTTCGGAGGTTGCGTTGGACTAGATCGGTGCGAGGCTTGCAACTTTCTCCTGCGAAGCGCATCAACAAAATCGGAGCTGCCGGTCCTCGACGTCTCGGCTGACTGTTTGGCTATTGCCGACGAGGTGCTTGGGCGTCGTTCGTTCGGAGGGGCCTTGACGGGTCATCAACGGCGAAGTCGAAGTCGCCTGCTTGGGGAGAGGTGATGACGATGACATTGCAGGCTGCCTCGACGGTGTCCTCTCCTCGACGATGTGCGTGATCTTGTGGGTGCCAGGTCGGCTGATGTGCCCTTTTCTGTGGGCGTTCTGTAACGGTTTTAGTCCGGATTTCCGTTAATTAACCGGACAATTCTCTTCTTCTTAATCAATGAAAATGGCAAATCTTTTGCCTTGTTTCAAAAAAAAAAAAAAGACCAAGTTAATTCTTTTAACGAGTTATGAGAAAGCTGTGGCTTCCAGAGTTTGAATAATATCTAAGTGACTACTGAATGCATTCGTGACATTCAGGACCTACACGTCTTGTATGTCTACATGAAGTGAATGATAGAATTAAATTCAAGATGATCTTGCCCATAGTGTCAAAAAATTCAGGATTCAATCTTCATGATCTTCAGTTCTGAGAATCCTATGATATGTCATGATTCGAAATTAACACATTCATGCCCCATAATCACATAAAAGAAAGAAGACCAACCTTCACATGAAGTAGCATTCATTAGATCAGCAAAATCTGTCTCGACATGAATCAGTGCATTAATTAAGTGGATTGTATAGTCATAAGCGCCGTAGCTCAGTGCCAACAATAGTGCTGTTAGGACCATGCAGCTCTACCCTGAGTTCTTCAGCACTAACCTCCTGCTGATTCTGCTTCACCATATTCCATGTTAGAGCACAGACTGCTATGGAACTCAGGGCATCCATGATCTTGATGATAAGGTGCTATGCCTCAGGGCCTGGTGTCATGGCTCTGAAAAAGAAGGTCCTGCATGTTAGACTATAAGTAGTATAGTACACGTACAGCCCATGTATATGGTCAAGGCTGTACGCATAATTGACATGTTACTGGTGCACGACCTGTTGAGCAAAAGAGCTAATCAAACTTGTGTTGAATTCTATAGGCTACCCCCTTCTAATAATTGTCTCAATGTCCAAATTTAGAGAAGTTCAAAATTGGGCCAGCCATAGTGAGATGACATTTTGAGAAATTGATTCTGGTTGAGATGATTTACTTACATGAGTGCATTTATTTTAATTACTAGCATAGTAGCATCAATGATTTTTCCCCACTGTACATAAAATACTCCCTATTGTTCTGGTTACATTCTCATGCTCAGTCATTTTCAGGCTGCAGAGATACTGTCCAAGGAGGGAATCAGTGCTGAGGTAGTTACTTTTCGCAAAACATATTATGTAGTACAGTTATGTGACCAACGTTCTTTTTTAACTACATCCATCATTTTTTTCTTATTATTCACTATAATATCTGTTAACAGGTGATCAACCTTCGGTCAATTAGACCGTTGGATAGAGCTGCTATCAATGCATCTGTCAGGAAAACCAGCAGATTGGTAACCGTTGAAGAAGGCTTTCCACAACATGGTGTTGGTGCTGAAATATGGTTCGTCTCTCTCTCTCTCTCTCTCTCTCTCTCTCTCTCTCTCCCCTATGCTTGGGTGTTGGGTTCTCAGATGTATCTTCATTGCAGCATGTCCGTAGTGGAGGACAGCTTTGAGTATCTTGACGCACCAGTTGAGAGGATTGCCGGAGCTGATGTACCTATGCCCTATGCGGCAAACCTTGAAAGATTGGCAGTTCCACAGGTCTGCACTTGCTGCTTCTTTTACATTGAGCCCAAACCATTGGGTCCCATTTCTTTAGATATTATTGAGGAAGTTCGCCTAATCGATAATAGCATAGCATTTTTCATGAGCAGTACTGGAAATAGCACAGTTTTACCATGATTTTTAGTTTCTTGCCTTCATCCATCTACTGTGGAATCTTTATCTATAGCCAGTATCATTGGTTGGCTACCGCGCAACCTTTATCTATAGCCAGTATTATTGATTGGCTACCATGCAATATTTTCTGAAAGTAGGGGATATTGATGCTATTATTTTTATGTTTGGACTGCCTTGTGTTGGTTTCATACTTCTTCATTCTCAGCGTGCTCCATTGTTATTAAGAATTTAGTGAATTGTATGTACTGTTAAGCGGGTACT